AGCCCTAAACCCAAAGCCCTTTAAAGCAACCCTTAAAGGAACCCCCGTACGAGGCAACATGGTCATGAGACTGCGGGCCTCCATGGCGGGCTTGTCCCCCCTGGGCTACGCAGCCATGGTGGGCGGCTGGGGCTGTGCGTGTTGTTTTATCCTTTTTTTTTTTGGGGGGGGGGGGGAGCTGTTTATAGGATTTAGGGTGTAGGTGGAAGATCAGGGCTTTACGTAGAGGGTTTGGTTGGTGTAAGGTGCTGCGGTCTTGGCCTCAAGGGTTTTGGGTTTGAAGTGCCTTCGGGGTGATTTGTGGCTTGCTTGCTCTGCGGTTAGGGTTTGAGTCGAGGGCCCTGTTCGGGCTCTCTGAGGTCACGAAGGGCTGACGAAGCTGTTCTTGGACCACGGTGCAGATCCCATGCCAAACGATCGTGGCGACTCTCCTGCCGACCTGGCCCGTAACAACCACCACTACCATCTCTTGCCCTTCTTAGAAGTCTCTTCCGTGCCTCTTTGACTTGCAGGTTGTCTCAAGATCCTGCAAAATTCTTGTTAACGCCGACCCCTGATGAAGAAGTCGAGAGGACCCTGATCCTCGATGATTCCAAGTTACGGATGCCTGTTACTCTTCCCGCAAAGGAAGGCACTCCTCTCTTCCTCGGGGGTCCTTGAATCAATATCCTGACCGGTTCCCAGAGAGAGCAACCTCTATTCATTCAGGAGTACTTTCAGAAATGCTTTCGTGTCCTGGGCGAAGTCAGAGAACCTGAGCCGCGAAGCCATCAGGGTAGCTCTCCAAATTAGGATTTTTTGTAGGGTCTGTTTTATAAGGGTGCCGTACTATTTTGGGGACCTACAAAGGGACCCTCATTTAGAGAACTACCAATAAAGGAAGTCCGGATGTGTCAAGACTCTCTGTGGCACCCTCGAACGTAGGGGCTTGAATAATTCCTAAACCCTAAACCCTACAACGTATTATTCTTCAGGGCTCCTTACTCACCCGACCTGGCGTACATTTTTTTTGGTGTATTAGAGTCCGATATATTTTTTTTAAGCGTAAACTCTATGGTGCAGAGTTGGTACACACCAGCAGGATATCGTTCAAAATGCACCCCTACCCACCGCATCTGAAGCCTCAAACCCTGAAGAAACCAAGCCCACGACCTTAAACCCTACAGAACCCTTGCAGAACCCGTCTGGAAGCCCTTCTAGAGTCTAGAGACCCAAAAACCTGTCGCATCTCACACCTGTTAGGGGGTTGAAGTGGTTTAAGGCCTTTGGAATTCTAGGGTTCAGGGTCTAGGGTTTGGGATTCTTGGGTTCAGAACCCTAAACCCTAAACCCCAAACCCCTAAACCCTAAACCCCTAAACCCCTAAACCCTAAACCGTTGGGGACTCTTCAGGAGGAGAGAGAAGTTCTTGCCATGAACTTTACATGGAGAGGCCAGGTTCGGGGCTCAAGGTCAACAGAGGTCAGGTCTCACTGGAACAGGCCAAGGCCTTAAACTTTAGGAGTTCAGGGGTTTAGGGGTTTAGGGGTCTAGGGTTTAGGGTTTACAGTCTGCCTAAACCCCAAACCAGCCTAAGCTCCCAAAAACCCTGGCTATCCTGCGGGGCTTCAGCGAACAGTGCTGACCTTCGGTGTGGCCGTCAGGGAGTCCTTTACCACGGGGCCCCGGAGAGCCCCGACTAGCCGGTTAGGGTTTAGGGTTTAGGGCTTAGACATAATGTAATAAGAAGCAGGTTATATACTTCTACCAGTATAGTACAATATAAGAGGGTTTAATGTGACAGTATCCCCGAATCAAGGAGGCTTGAAGCGTCTCACTATTAATACTACTAGTCTTCTTCTTGTTCGTATTTTAGGTATTGTGATCATGATCATGAGTCATGAGTGTTATATGATTCTTATTGTTCTTCCCACCGAAGCCATTGCGATTATGATTGTGATGACTATTGTTATTTATTACTATTGGTAAAAGTGTCATCATTGCTATTGCTACTGCTGTTATTGTTATTATTATTATTATTACTATTATTATTATTATTGTTATTATTATAATTAAAACTATTCTTCTTCTTCTTCTTAGAATCATTATGATTATGATCATTATTATTATTATTGTTATTACTATTGTCATTATCATTATCATTATCATTATTATTATTGTTATTACTATTGTCATTAGCATTTTTATGATTAATATTATTATCATTACTATTATTACGATTATTAATATCATTATCATTATCTTCATCATCATCACTATCATCATCATTATCATCACCATCATTATTATTATCATTATCATTATCATTATCATTATTGTTATTATTCTTCTTATTATTATTATCTTTAGGACTCTCTCGGCCCATCCCACAAAGTGAGGAGCAGGAAGGTCCCCCCAGTTGGGCTCGAACCGTTCTTCGACGTCTCACCGTTTTCTCACAGCGTAACCCAGAGACTCCAAAAAGGCCCTTAATTGTTGCGGAATATAGCTTAAATCATATTAGCGTTCCTACTATAGCTTTTAAGGTTTTTTATTCCTGATTTAAGGGGTTTGGGAGTGTCTGGGTAGAGGCTTGAAAGCCATCCTGAGGCTTCTCGATGGGCTTTTCCACACATCTGACGGGATGTGTCATCCTACAATCGAAGGATCGCCCTCTCTGGTGTAAATTCTTCTATGCCATGGCGGTTTGTGGTTGAGGGATGTGTGTTTGGTAATATGTGGTCCTGAGTAATTGCCAGTATAGTTATCCCAAGAACCCTGTTCTAGTTCTTTCAGGCCCTGAAGCAGGTAGCTGTGTGCCAGCATTCCCCTTGCCCCGCGACTGGAAGCCCCATATTCCTCAGACAGAAGCCTTTCCCGACGGACGTCGAACTGCGCACCTTAGACGCTCCCAGGGCTTGGGGGTTTAGGGTTTGCGGTTTGGGGGAGTCATTTGAGTTTAGGGTTCAGGGTTCAAGCCTCCCTTCGCCAAAGACGGAAGTCCAAACCGTCGAGAATCCATAATCCGCGCACATGGTCCCTAAACCCTAAACCCTAAACCCTAAAACCCTAAACCTTAAACTCGTATCAAGATTCCTCCTCATCCTTGTCTTCGTCGTCGTCGGCATCGTCGTGAACAGAACAGAATGATGCGAACTTACGAAGCGCGGATGCCTTAAACCCTCAAGTCCCAAAATCCTAAACGCCAAAACCCTCAGCCCAAGAGCCACAGAACCCTGACCCACCAGAACCCTCAGCCCCCAACAGCTTACACCCCCCAAAACCCAAAGCTCTAAACCCAAGACCAGCAAACCCTTCACCGCTCTGGTAGCTGACATCCCCGGCTTGATCGCTTTTTGCCGTAACGTAACATCCTCACAAGCGCAAAAGCAGGCACCCCGAATGTCATGAGGGGCACTTATCTCGGGAGTATGCATCCCTAAACCCTACACCGTAAACCATGGGCCTTGTGTTTGGAAGGTCAAGGACCACTTCCTGTCCAAAGCTGCCGGGCCGGTGGAAAGAAGGCAGGCACCTGGTTGAGTGTATAAGGGATCTAAAAGGGTACTATAAGGGATCTATAAGGGTACTATAAGGGATCTAGAAGGCTATAAGGATGTTTGGGTGCTGATGGCTTCAAGGGGTTTTGGCTTTCTCCTTGTCTTTCTTGGGCCGCAATCTTCCTAGGCTTCAATTCAAAAATCGCCCTGAAGCCCGGTCAAGTCCGGCCCCGGGAACGCGAGAACCCGAACCCCCGAGGTGTTCCGAGCCCTTCCAGGGCCTTGGAATGAGGGGTTTCGGCTTTTAAAACCCAGAGTATAGCTTAAATCATATCAGGGTTCCTATTATAGTTTAAGGTGTATTCCTGAATTAAGGGGTTTTGAAGTCTCTAGGAAGGCTACTCCATCAGTCGGTGTCGGGCACCTTGGCAGAAGCCTCTGGCTCCCAGTACAATGAACCTGACGTCCCCCAAAATATCCCCGCCAGAGCCTCGGGTCTTTGAAAGCTGCCAAAAAAAGCCGCAAAGAAGAATCGAGAGCCCAACCTACAGCCATCAGCTTCTAGGGTTTGGGGTTGCGGCAACCTTCTCCAGCCCTCAAGCCCCAAAGCCTAAACCTTAAGCCCGAACTTCTGCCTAAAGCCTAAACCCTAAACCCTCCAAGGACCCTGAAGACCCCTAAGCGCTAAGCCGCACTCCAGGTACCTGATCGTCGACGCTTCCGCCTTCCTTGACCGCCGGGAGGCTTCCTTCTTGGGTGATGGTTTCCGGTTTCGGGTTCGACACTCCTACCCTCAAATCCTTCAGCCTGAAAGCCTAAACTTTAAACCCCTAAAGCCCAAAGCCCTAAACCCTAAACTTCTGAAGCCCTAAACCCGAAGCCTCTGAAGCCCCGAACCTCTAAAGCCTAAACCTCTAAAGCCCTCTTCCTGTGCGGAGGTTCCAAGTATTTGGAAGCCTCGAGTCGAAACCCATGCCCAACACGCCCACAAGCCCAGCTCAGATGGGACTCTCCGAAAATTAGGAGTACCTTATTTTAGGGTCCTTATAATAAGGATCCTTGCTGAAGTGCATGCCTCTGGTTGCAGTCCATA